ACACTGCAGTATGGAATGCTGGTTTCCCAACCAGTGCCTTAGCTGCTAGGCCAAGCATCTGCCCTTGTGTACTTTTAGGTGAGGATGTCCTGTCCAGTCACTAGAGCCTATTGTCATATTTCTAGTCCAGTTGAGATTTGTGAGCTGGCACCTACAGGCATTTGAGTTTGGGACCTTCATGTTAGACCCTGCCAGAATGATGTTGACCTGTATTGAGTGAGAAGAATGGCTTTTGTGGAGTGATTATTTATAGATTATGTAGGGCACAGAAGTAGTGAATATACTTAACCTGAACAAAAGTTAGATTTTGGGACTAAAAACTGATAAAGACTAATATCTGCCTGAGTGCAAAATTCTATTTTTGGGGAGGGGGATTGTTAAAACTAAACCTTAGGGGAGTTATGAAAGCACATAAAAGAGGTCAGCAGGTAGAAATTACTATATTGAGCATACTCAGGCAATCAGTTGAGGAGACATGGTAATATCTACTTGGAAAATAGCTCTTGTGAGTAGACTAGATCAAGACTGAATGATAGAGATATTCTTTTTATTCTTTATTTAGCTTTCCTTGGCATATTTTCTAAATAATAATGAATTGATAATGCTAACTTATATTTCTAATAACATTACACTTTCATTTTCTTCTTCACTGTAGTCTTAAGATAGTCTGATCATTTTGCTTATTTCTAAAAAGACTCCTATGCTTTGTAACTTTATGGTTTCTATTTTGTTTCTCATGTTTCTAGTTTTAAGCCTTTTTGAATTATCTTTCTTTAGTATGTATTTGTAATTATTTGGTTTCCAATTAGAACATTTAAATACCAATTCAGTCAGTCATCTGGTAGTATAACTTTCCTCAGTTCTTCCAGTCTTTGGTCTATGGAAAGTTACTTGCTTTTTGTAGGACATTTCATTTGGAAGTAAAATCTTATGAAAAACTATCATGCTTTACTAAAAATGATTTGATGTATTAGGTCTACTGTTTTACATTTCACCCAACTAGCTTATAATTTACCTAGAGGGGAAATAATCAATAAAATTATAATGTGAAAAAGGAATATGTCATAGTTTAGGATAGTTTGCTACATAACATACCTTGAGTTTTCTCCAAAGTTTGGAAGTTAAATGTTTCTAAATTATTTGTTAGAAGTGTTTTAAAAACCTCTTGAGTAATTTCAGTAGAACTGTGTTTCAAAAAAGATTGCCAGGGATAGTGGCTAATCACACCATTGTATTAGATATGTACCACATTTTCTGTATCCATTCATCCATTAGTGGACCCCTAGCTTAGCTCTAGGTATTGGCTATTTTGAATAGTGCTGCAGTGAACGTAGTAGAGCAAGAGTCTCTTTTATGTGCTGCTCTTACTTCCCTCAGTTATATACCCAAAGTGGGATAGCCAGATCATATAATAGAGGGACCTCTGTATTCCCTAGCTGCTACACTCACTTGTCCTGCATCAGTAGTGTATCAGAGTTTCATTTTCACCACATCCCTGGTAGCAGTTGTCTCTCTTTCTCTATCTCTCTGCTTCTCAAAAAAACCCTCCCAAATAAACAATCAACAACTACTTTATCAGAATAATGAGATATTATGCCTGTAACTCTGCTTTTTAGTAGCGATGGTATTGAAAAGATGGTACTTTTTAAAAAAAATTTATTTATTTATTTGAAAGTCAGAGTTACAGAGGGGCAGAGCCAGAGAGAGAGAGAGGTCTTCTATCTGCTGATTCACTTCCCAGATAACCACAATAGCTGGAGCTGTGTGGATCTGAAGCCAGGAGCCAGGAGCTTCTTCCGGGTCTCCCACATGGGTGCAGAGGCCTAAGGACTTGGGCCATCTTCTACTGCTTTCCTAGGCCATAGCAGAGAGCTGGATGGGAAGTGGAGTAGCTGGGATGGTGCCCATGTGGGGTGCCGGCACTGTGGGTGGCGGCTTTTACCCACTATGCCACATTGCTGGCCCGGGTACATTGCTTTTTATAGTGTGCATCTTTGCAAGGAAATTTTCTGCATGAAAAAGAAAAAAATATTAAAAAATTCTCTGAAAAGTTTTGGAAAATACTTTTTTTTGAGGGGGGGTGAGGGCTGGAGACTATTATCCCCTTGTTTGAGCTACTTAGTCATTGCACATTCTTGTCTCCAAGCACATTTCTTTGCTATCTCCTTTTTGTATATCTTTATTTTTTTATTTTATTATTTATTTGAAAAGCAGTTACAGAGAGTCAGAGACAGAGAGACAGTTAGAGAAGTCCTCCGTTGTATGATTCACTCCCCAAATGACTGCAACGGCCAGAGCTGCATCTATTCAAAACCAGGAGCCAGGAACTTCTTCTGGGTCTCCCACATAGGTGCAGGGGCCCAGGGACTTGGGCCAATTTCTGCTGATTTCCCAGGCCATAGTTGAGAGCTAGATTGGAAGTAGAGCAGCTAAGACTCAAACTGGTGCCCATATGAGATGCTGACACTGCAGCCAGTGGCTTTATCCTCTATGCCATAGGACTGACCCCTGTATATCTGTATTTAAAAAAAAATATTTATTTATTTTAAAGAGTTACTGAGGGAGAGGCAGAGACAGAGAGAAATCTTCCATTAGCTGCTTACTCTCCAGATGGTTGCAACGGCTAGGGCCAGGTCAGGCTGAAGCCCGGGGCCAGGAGCTTCATCCAGGTCTCCCACGTGGGTGAAGGGGCTCAAACACTTGGGTCATCTTTCGCTGCTTTTCCCAGGGCATTAGCAGGGAGCTGTGTTGGAGATGGAGCAGTTGGGACACAAACAGGCATCTATATGGGTTGCAGGTGGTGACTTTACCCATTGCGTCACAATGCCAGCCCTATATCTTTATTTTTTTATTCCCTTTATTTATTACTTTTCACAGTTTCTCTACCTTCATTTTGTGTTTGGCCTCTAAATTTTATACCGGCTTAGCTGTGCGTTTAAAAATATTTTTTCCATCAGTGACATTGTGGAATAGTGGACAAAGCTGCTGCCTGTGATGTCAGCATTCCATAGGAACACTGGTTCATGTCCTGGCTGCTCCACTTTTGATCCAGCTCCCTGTTAATGACCTGGGAAATCAGCAGAAGATGGCCCAGGTGTCTGGGCCCTGCCACCCATGGGAAAGACTTGGATGAAGCTCCTGGCTTCATCCTGGCCACCCTTGGCCATTGTAGCCATCTGGGGAGTAAACTAGCAAGTGGAAGGTCTCCTTCTCTCTGTCTGTCCTTCTCTTTCTGGAACTTATTCTGGGTCTCCCATGTGGGTGCAGATGCCCAAGTACTTGGACCATCTTCTGCTACTTTCCCAGCCACATTAGTTGGGAGCTGGATCAGAAGTGGAGCAGCCAGGACTCAAAATGGCACCCATTTGGGATGCTGTCACTGCAGGTGGCAGATTTACTGGTGAGGACATAGTGCTGGCCCCAACAAATACTTTTTAAAATGATCAGTATCACTCTCAACTATGGAAATGCAAAGTAAAACCACAATGAGATGTCATCTCACTTGAGGTAGAATGATCATTAACAAAAAGTCAAAAATATAGAGAAAAGGGAACCCTCATACACTGTTGGATGAAATACAGCCATTATGAGGTATAGAGGTTCTTCATACATCTAAAAATAAATTGACCATTTGATCCATTTGTTTCACTTTGGGCATATAGCAGAAAGAAATGAGAGAGATACCTGCACTCCTTTGTCCATTGCATCACTGTTCCTATTAGTCAATACGTAGGATCAACCTAGGTGTCCATTAATGGTTGAATGATAAAGAAAATGTGGTGTATACCAATGAAATATTACTCAGTTTTAAAACTGTGTGAATTCCTGACATTTGGCAGCAAGATGAATAGAACTGGAGATCATTATGTTAAGTGAATTAAACCAGAAAGATATAGTCAGTCCGCATTTATAATGATGATTACTAGAGGCTGGGAAGGTATGGGAAGGATATGTTGATTATCTTTTCATCACTGGAACAGTTTTACACAATAGACAGTAAGGAATAGACAGTAAGGAACTTAGGAAGGAGGGGAGGAAGTTTATTTTGGAGGGTCACAATCCCAAGCTCATTGGGCCCGATGTTTTGGCGTTTGATGATAGCAGAAAGTATGTGAAAGGAGGATCACATAGCAAGCCTTGAAGTGGAAAGACCAGGAGCATGTTCATCATCTGCCCTGTACATGGACTTTCTTCATAAAGCCACAGTGATTAGATCAGAGGGATTTTACCCTGCAATCTTTCCAGTCTTCAAGCTCTAGCCTTAATCTATTAACCTGAAACCCTAGGAATTAATCCTTTAACATAAAGATGTTTGGAAGACACCCATGGTATAACTGGGGCAAATAGGGAAGTTGATAACAGGTACCAAAATGCAGTCAGAACTAATAAGTTTTGGTGTTCCACAACCCAGTGAGGTTATTATAGTTCACAGTAATGTATTATAAACTGTGTAAAGAGCTGGAAGAGAGGCACCAAAAACAAAGAAATGGTAAGGAAATGGAAGAACTAATTGTCCGGTTTCATTAATTTGTATTGTATACATGTGTTGAAATACTGCATGGTCTCCATAAAAATGTATATTATATGTTAACAAAAAATTTTAAAAACCAAAATAATTTCAAAACAAAAATAAAAAATATTCTTTGTAAAGATAGGTGTATTAAAGATCTTTCTATACCTTTCAAAATAATTTTTAAATGCCATTTAAAGAACTTGTCTAAATGTTTGCACTGATGTTCCAGTGGAATGATCAATGAACATTTGTATAGAAGATGTTTTTAGAACTATACCCATTCTTTTGGTTATTGTAGTTTGGAATGTCCAGGATATAACATGGAATAGAAGTCTTCATGTGGTATTTTTTCATGTGTCCCAATATATTAACCTAGATTCCTCTGGATCCACCTCTTTCCCCTATTTCAGTTCTTATGCCATATGTATTAAGAAGTTTTTATATAAAGTATTATATTTCTCACAAGTGCCTCTGTTTTTATTTACAGCTACTTGAAGGAAATTTTGCCAAAGAAGTCAGTCATGAAATGGATGGACTTATATTTCAGCCTATCGGGGTAAGTTTATTAGTGTCTGTGTGCACATGTTCACACTAATGCACATATATGTGTGTATATAAAGTCTATCTTTTCCAGACTTATTTACTTACAAATTATTACTGTTGTATCACTACTTTTCCTTAAACAAATTGCTCACTAAGAAAAGATTTCATGTATGTATAAACATATAATACTAAGAAATAAGCATTGTTGGTCATTACTTTTCAAGGAAATTAATTTTTTAATATTTTTTCTTTTAATTCTTGCAAATGAATGCTAAGTTATGGTTTTATTAACAATCTACCAATAACATTGAATATATCCTTTTGTAACTATTGTACTTTTAAATATTAATCTCTCTAGAATTTCATTTTGCCATAGGTGAGTAAAAGAGTTGAAGAAAAATAGAATTTTTGAATATTAATTCCATGTTGAATTTCTTTCTTTTTTCTTCTCCTTTTCCAAGATTTATTTATTTGTTTGAAAGGCAGAGTTAGAGAGATTTTCCATCCATTCTTTTACTCCCCAAATGGCTGCAACAGCTAGGGCTGGGCTAGGCCAGAGCCAGGAGCTTGGAATTCCATCTGGGTCTCCCAGTGGATGGCAGGGGTCCAAGTATTTGGACCATCTTCTACTGCTTTCCCAGGCACATTAGCAAGGAGCTGGATCAGAAGTAGAGCAGCTGGGACTCAAACTGGCACTCATAAGGGCTGCTGGTGTCACAAGAGGTGGCTTTATCTGTTGCGCCACAACATCGACTGTCCATGTTGAATTTCTGAAATGCACTGAAGAGCTTTTACCAACTTAAGTGTCAGATGATATTTTTGGAGTAAGTTGTTTTACTCAATAGCAGAGTTTCTTATCCTTAGCACTGATGATGTGTTGGGTCAGATAACTGTTCACTGAAGGAGTGGTTTTGTGCATGTAGAATGTTTGGCAGCATCCTTGGTCTCTTATCACTAGTTGGCCAGTGATGCTCCTCCTCCCAGTTGTGGTAGTCAGTGAAATAGACAAGCATTGCCTGTGGGATAGGCACCATCTAGGGAGTGGTTGTAGGAACAAATAGTCCCAGACCTATTGATTAGAAACTCTGAGAATGCGGTCCAGTTTGTGTTATAACAAGTTCTCCATGTGATTTTGATGCATATTCAAATGTGAGAACTACTCACTCCATTGGAAATGGTTGTATTTCATGGGCGTCCATGCCATCATGTGCTATATTCTGTCTTCACTAACCTTATCCCTCAAAATTTAGGTTTATTGGGGCCAGAACTGTGGAGTAGCAGGCCACCACCTGCAATGGTTGGGGGGGGAGAGAGAGAGAGAAAGGGAGAGAGAGAGAGAGATCTTCCATCTGTCTGCTACTTCACTCCCCAAATGGCTGTGGTTTCCAGGGCTGGGCCAGGCCAAACCAGGAGCCAAGAACTTCTGGGTCTCTCACATGAGTGGCAGGGGCCCAAGTACTTGAGCCATCTTCCCCTACTCTCTCAGGCACATTATCAGGGAGCTGGATCAGAAGTGGAGCAGCTGGGACTTGAACTGGCACACATCTGGGATGCTGGTGTCTCAGGTGGCAACTTAACCTGATGTGCCACAAAGCTGGGCCTGGTTTTCTGTTTTCTACACTACCTTTGAATTTGTAAACTGAAGAATAGAGTGAGTCCTCTGATTTCCTCACCACCATATAGCCTCTTTTTCCATCTTCATTTCCATTATAATTTACCTATAATATAAAATGAAATGAATATTCAATATCTATTTTTATGATGACACGAGTAAGTATTGTTTATATCTTTGTTAAGTAGTATAAAGGGTCTTCCAAAAGTTTATGGAAAATATGTGTTATGAAAAACTGATTGGGTTGCATAATTTTTTTTGCAACAAAATGAACTTAGTTTTTAATTTAGTCTGTCCGTGAACTTTTTGAAGTACCCTTCTTTTATGTGCTTTGAAATTGTGCAGTAACGATATTAGGAAAAATAGAAGCTAATGACATAATTTTAATAATATATTCATTTATCCCACTATCAAAACATTTTCAATATTTATTCAACATAAAACAGTTCCTAGCTTTATACTAGCTATTTAAAATCTAATGGGTATTTTACATTTCAGCACATCTTGGACTTCACCTTTCTAATACTCAGTGGCCACATGTGTATTAGACAGTGCAGGTGTTGATGTATTGATTTCTTCCTTTATCTCATTTGTGCCCTGACATTTGTATTAATTCGTTTGTAACCTTCATTTAAATTGTAATTCTGTGTGTAATGAGAGGGTTTTCCCCTCCAGCTTATAGAAGAAAATGTGTTTTGTTATTGTTATTGTTGAAATAGAATAACTTGGCCCCCAACACTTCTCCCCCTTCTAAATCGTAGTATTTCATAATACTTACAAGGATTCCATTTGTATTTCCTTAATTCTCTCCTTTTTAAGTTGTGCCATTGATTTTAAACTTATTCCAGCTAAGAAGTCCTGTTTCTAGTCTCTATATCTAGAAGATCTCTCTCTCTCTTGCACTCTCTTTCTGTAACTGCCTTTCAAATAAATTTTAAAAAAAGATTTGTTTTATTTATTTGAAAGACAGTTATATATAGAGAGGGAGGGAATGGAGGAGAGAGAGAGAATGAAAGAAAGAGAGAGAGAGAAAGATTGATTGATCGATCTTCCATCTGCTGGTTCAGTCCCCAAATGGCTGCAATAGCCAGGGCTGGGCCAGGCTGAAGCCAGGAACCAGAAACTTCTTTCAGGTCTCCCTTGTATGGTCAGGGGACCAATCACTTGGGTCATCTTCTGCTGCTTTCCTAAGAGCATCAGCAGGGAGCTGGATCAGAAGTGGAGCAGCTGGGGCTCAACCAGCGTCCATATGGGATGCCTGTGTCACAGGCAGTGGCTTTACCCACTACACTACAGCGCCAGTCCCAATCATAAAGCTCTTGAGGCTACATTGACACATAACATATGCACATCATAAAACTATTTCTTAGGGCCAGAGCTGTGGTATAGCAGATTTTTCTTTAATAGGAGATCTTACTTTCTTAAAATAATATATCTCTTGGAAGATCAGACAGTTGATATAAAGTAGACTTCTTACAGCATTTGATAATATGCCCACTACATGACTTATATACGTTTCTATTATTTTTTTCCTCCTGCCATCAGTTTGTTAGAATTTTTACTTTTATATACTTTACTTCCTAAATTATTATTATGTATAACGTAGGCCATTATTAAACAGAATAGGGGATTGCCTCTGAAACTGTCAGATTTTGTTCATCTGTGGACATTGTTAACTTCCCCCCCAAATACTAATTTATTGTAGCAGTTTATGTTTATGAAAGACTCATCCGAGGGGCCAGCACTGTGGCATAGCAGGTAAAGCTGCCGCCTGCAGTGCCAGCATCCCATATGGGCGCTGGTTTGAGTCCTGGCTGCTCCACTTCTGATCCAGCTCTCTGCTATGGCCTGGGAAAGCAGTAGAAGGTGGCCCAAGTCCTTGGGACCTTGCACCTGTGCAGGAGACTCAGAAGAAGCTCCTGGCTTCAGATTAGTTCAGCTCTGGCCGTTGCGGCCAATTGGGGAGTGAGCCAGCGGATGGAAGACCCCCACCTGTTGCCAACCTGCCGCCTCTGCCTCTGCCTCTCCTTCTCTCTCTGTGTAACTCTGACCTTCAAATAAATGAATAAATCTTTAAAAAAAAAAAAAGAAAAGAAAGACTCATCCCAGCTGCATATTTTGGTAGAGGTTTAATCTGTAGTATAACCCTACATTGTACTAGTTACTAGTCTCTATCTTTTTCATTTTTTATGAAATTTTAATGATTTCATCCTTTGTTTCTTGACATGTTTCATTTTAATTGTGATTTCTTGTGATCATTTTCTGTCTAGTTTTTTAACTTTTTACCATTAACAAATGCCTCTCAGTATATTTATGGGCTACCCTTTAATGAGACTTTATCATTAGTAAGTAAAATGGTTTCTTGCTTTTAGAAGTTTGTGGTAGTCACATATCCGCCTATTCTCTATAACTGAGTGGTTCTTTTATATTCCTACAGTATTTTTGTTAAATTTTCTAAAGTATTCAAAGTATAAATATAATTATTAATTATGCTATCCAGAATAGGTTCCAGTTGAACAAGAATCTATTCAGGGTAAGCAGGAAGCAGCTTTCTCCTTCAGAATGAAAATTTCATTATATTCCATTGTGTAGTCTTTGTTATTTTTTTGCATGTTGCTTTTTCAATCTCAATATTGGATTCTTCCATAAAGAGTGGTTTTCAGTTTTTACTTGCTGTGACATCTGGTTAGGCCACCATTACAAAAGTGGTTGTATGTATTCCACTTTTAGGTTTGGTTTGCACTGGTTGAGGCACTACCTTGCTTCTACTCAGAGATTTATGACTTTTCTACTTTCTTTAGAAAAATAGAAATGTAAGTTTCTATTGAAAAAGGTAAACTTGAGTGCTATCATCAAACTCTGTATTTATGGCATTTTGCTAACAAAAGCAGAATTTAAGACATTTTTCTAATAATTTTGGACTTACTTTGCTTTGTGGCTTTAAAAGAAGCACTTGAATTTTTTTCTCATCTAAGTCTTTGGGATTGAAACTACTGTGCTTATACATTGTCACCATGTTCACTTTCTTTAGCAGGTGAAATGGCCTTTTTAGGATTGCTATTGCATGCTCCAAAGAAATAGCTTAATTTTCCTTTTTGTCTGCTTTAAGTCTTCTGTATAAGGAAGAAGAGAGTTGATTACAGACAGGTGTAGCTTCCAGCGGTGAGAGAAGATGTGAGTTAGATGGTCCAGGGACAAGGCATTAAATGACATTCTGTCATGCACTGAGACAACCTGGGTCCTTCCTGTTTTATATTCACTTTCTAAGATTATAAGAGGGAAAGCTATTTTTAATTTTTAGTATGTAAGACTTGCTTATCTTTTCCTTTTCAACAATCAATTTGGGTGTTGTTTTCAGTTATTCAATAGGCAGCATGTTTCCTGGAGTTAGTATCATTGTT